AACTTTTTTTTTTTTTTTTTGCAAGTAATTAATATTGTGATAATGAAATATTCACTTTGTCACCAAAACTCTCTCTTTTTTGTGGCAGATCATTAGACCGTCATGTTGTGTCAGAAGTCTGTCTGAAATCAGTTTCTGGAGGTACATTTAAATGCAAACACTGCCTGTGAATTCATTGGTTTACAGTGCAGCAAGACAAGAAGTCAGTTGTCTAAACTTTAAAACGCAACCACTGTTTGCAGATATCATAAAAATGAAGAAACAGTGCATTATATCTTGAATGCTTGGATAAAAGCATCTGCCAAATGCATATATATGAATGTACTTTTCATTGTTGAATTAACTGTATTTATAACTAACACTGTGATGCATCATGCGATTGCCTTATCAACACATGGAACATGCAATGCTTTCCTGTAATTTAGCCAAAATGGAATATTTTTGAAAGCAGCATACTGTTCGTACCAACATTTTGCACCTATAAGTGCATCTATGATGCTTTAAAAAAAATTGGAATAAAGCCTGTGTTCTTTAGTCTGTTTCCTCCTACTTCTTTTTGGCTTTATCTGTTCATCTATTTTTTGTTCTTCAGTCTGTTTCTATTATGTTGGCTCACTATGCCAAACTTGAATGAGATTTTGTAATATTTGAATTATAATACTAGGTGGATTGTGCCCAACTATCACTGCTGGCGTTTTGAGAAAGAGCCACATTAAGGTAACAAATACGCATTCATCTCTTGCCAAAGTCTGAGTGAGTCCGGGACATTTGGTTAGCCTTGATGTATATGCGCTGTCAATGAGACATGCCCTCAAACGTGTAAACAGTGCAGATAAAGAATGAATTACCTTTACGAGCGATCCGAATGCAGTTGATCCGCGTCTCCTGAGGATAAAACAGAGAATGGATACAAGTTATCAGGGCTATCTGAGGGTGAGAGCATAGCGTGTGTGTGATTTATGTTAATATCTGACTAGAAATCCCACGGGCAGCCAGAATTAAATAGAAATGCCTTTGATGACATGCACTAGCAAATGAATGAGAACATCAGCTGGACATGAAGGCTCAGTCAAGCTGTTATGCTGTCTACAGTCAACATACGTTGTCTGCTAAGTCTACATCCAAAATGAATAAAACATCATAAGTGACATGCTTTACATAATCAGCAAGATACAGTACAAACAGCTTTTCTCACAAGAAACACAGTTTGACCTCTTTGTATCTTATTAACCCCTAAAAAGGGAATACCTTAAGGGTACATATATAGTATTTTACTACTCTACTAACCCAGCTGTAACATGCAATATGTTTGTTTCCACAAAAATGATGTACCACAAAACAGAAAAGTTATTTAACTGCATTTTTTTTTTTTTAAGTTTCGTATACAGATCCCTGATCACGTGAATCAGTGAAAATGGCTTAAATGCTGTAGTATGCATGCCAGGCCAGTAGTTGGTGATGTCCCTTTGTAAATAAACTTGTGCATACCTGTAGAATGAACATGTAATAGGCATGTGCATGATGCCAACATGTGCACAAATTTGTGTTTTTATAATTTACACAGAGATAACGGTGTCATTTTTAAAAATGTACACTCTGAAACCTATTTTTACAGTTTCAGGCCCCAAAAATGTATAACGTGTAAATGAATGGCCAAAACACACACACTGTACACACACTGCCAACACACATTTCAGTTCAAACTACTTGTAAAAGTGCATGTAGCATCCTATGACCCCTTTAAGCAAGAATTGATACTGCTGGACTTGTAAAACGTCTTAGACCAGGAAGGGCCACCTTTCAGCAGAATTAACGTCTTGTCCTAATTAAACACATCTGAACCAGCGAATCAAGGACTTCAGGATCACTAGAATTCACTAGGTGAATCTTTTTGATTTTTAAGTAAATTTGTGTTGCTTTAGAATCTGAAATCCTGAAGTCTGATGTGTAGATGCTAGGCCAGATGCCTTAAACTTTAAAGTTTGGCTCCAGCCCTACTCAAACAGACCTGAACCAGCTAATCAAGGTGTTCACTTGCAGGCAGGTGTGGTGGAGAAGGTTGGAACTAAACCTAGCATGATAGTAGATTTCCAGTAGCAGGGTTGAAGACCTATGTGGAAAGCCAATGACTACAGGTAATAATACATTATTGGTCAGAATGACCTAAAAGGCAAAGTAATGATTCCCGAGTCTCTTGTTTTCCGGTTGCTTAGTAGGATGTAGACAGTAGGGATGTGCAACTCCATAACTGAGGCTGATGTGAAACGCATATTGATGCATAGCCAACGATACGATACATATGAAGCAGCTACCGATGTGATGTGATACGATTCACCCCTATTATGATTGCAGTGCAATCCGATTTCGATTCGATTCAACACAATGCGATTCAATGCAATATTATGCAATGGGAAAAAAAAATATATGATGCAACGCAATTCAATTTGGTACAGATAGTTTGCTTTTATCGCTTTATTTATATTTAATTTATTTTACAAATTGCATAGGTTTTTAATCAAAATTTCCATCTCTCTTATAAAACCCAAAGTGTTTCCAAACATTGGATTTTAAATTATTTGGAGAAATCAATCTACATATAAAATATTGGTCACTTTCTAAATAATAAAAGTATAGTGCATACTTATAATTATATATAAATAAGTCGGTTTTTACCAGTGCAAATACTGTATGTTAGAAATGATGCATCACAATACAAATGCCAACCTGAATCCGATGCACACTTTTTTATATCGATGCATCACATAGTCAGTCGATCTTATGTCGACCTTACCCTCCCTATAGAACAGTGCTACTCTTCTAAAGATAAAGCGATGCAAACTAATCTTTAAATAGTCTGTAATACTCATAGTAATGGGAAAACCACCATGCCAGAAATAGAGTTTAACCATATAAAGTATACAACTGCATACAAGACATATTTGATCCAATCGAACCTGGGAGTTTGGCCTCTTCGTATTGTAAGATAGCAAGAGAGAAGCTCCTTAGCCGGTAAGCATCTAGTTTAAAACTTATTTAAACATTATTACCAAAAATTGCAGCTATCTTTGTTATCCTTTCCATTTGATTTTTATTTCCATAATAAGTCGTTCATTCAATAGTGTTCCTCCATTCTCCAACTCCATCAAAGTGATGTAAAATAAAAAGGGAGTGTCTTAAAATTCGAACATAAGTGGTCAAAGGAGATGCACTTCTTATTCTCAGATGGAAATAGTAATGCATGTTTTGGTTGACGACTTGCACCAAAATGCTTCTTAATACCAGGTGGAAACAGGGTTTCTGGGGTATTTTATATAATTTGCAGGCATCAGGGAGCTGCTATCAATATGCCGGAGGCTCTTGGAAATTCTGAGGGAGGTGGGATGTCTGAGATGGGTTCTTGTGCTGATGTCTCAAGTGAGAAAATTAAATGGCAAATGATCTGATGAGAATACCAGGAAAGAACCACCAGTCTGGTCTCAAAGAGTTGATGAGCTGAAGAGGATATTATGTGTTGCCTTGCAAAGAGTTCAAGAGCTGAAAATACCTTAATAAGACCTGTTCTGAAAGCACACTAAAAAAGAAGACTATTCAACTTTTAAACCATGGCCAAAAGAGTATGGCACTTATATGATTCAGATCAAATGAATCTTGTCAAAGAGTCAACAGATTGTCACAGACTCCATCACCTGTAAAGCAACAGAAAACGTTCAATGTGTGAACACTCCTGAACAAGCTGATGAATGCTCAGCCATTGATAGACAACATAGGGCTTCTGTAGGGAATCCATGGGAAGTTGGTATCTTCTTGATGTGGCAATGCAAGAAAAACAACCAGCGGATGCCAGCAAAAGGCTATTCCCTACTGGATGAAGCTGCGACATCCACATCAAGGAGCAGAGAAGATGCCTCTGGGGTATAAAATCAAGGAAGTCATCTTGAGTTATTAAGTCATGCAGTGTGTAACCTCCTGTCGTCGTTCCATCGTGCAGTGTGAACACAGCAACAACTGAATGCTACCCCAGATAGTCGTTCAGTGTGAAACCAACAGTGATGCGACGTCTTTGAAAATCGTGCAGTGTGAACTTGGCATAAGCGACACCAGCAGTGGGAAAACTTGATGTGTGATGATGCACAAGAAGTCTCAAATGAACCAGGTGTTGTACAGCTTGTGGGCCTCTTCTGTAAATTCATTTTAACTTATCCATGACTAGAATGTAACTGTTTCTCATTATTATTGTCGAATTACAGCAGCATAGCTGACATCAATGCATTATTTTAGTTTTTAGTGTGCTGCTTCTGTTGAGGTGCAATATACGCCAGGTTCTTATTTAAAGTGTAGACTGGATATTTTACAATTTTGTTGGTTGTAAAAGGAAAGTTCAACTGATTTCAAGCATTTGTACAGTCAAAAAGAAAAAAAAAAGTTTATGAACCCCTTTTCTGTTTTTTTTTCTGTATTTCTGCATTGATCGTAATTTAAATTACAATTATAGATAAACAAAATCTGACATAATAACACTCACTACTGCACTTCAATTTTTTTTTTTTTTTAATACATTATTCATTCACAACGACGGGTGGAAAAAGTAAGTGAACCCTATAATTTCGTAACTTGTCGATTCTTATTTAGCGGCAAAACATGTTCTGCAGCTGCTCATAAAAATCCCACCCCACAAATTCAGTTTCAGTCTATCAGAATTTCTGGATTGTCTTGGTACAGTAGTACAGCCCTCTTTCGTTTATGTCACAGTATATTAATTGGCTAAAAGGTCAGGACTTATTTTCTTTAGTTGATTTACAGTACTTGTGTGCTTTGGGTCATTGTCTTGTTGCATCACAATCTAAAGTCGTTAACTCTCTGTAAAATGTTTTGATACTCTGTTGCTCTTTCTCGCTGTCTGTTCTCTCTGACAGTGCGTCGACACACTTTTTTTTTAACTTTTTTTTTTTTAAATTTTTTTTTTTTTTTTTTTTTTTTTTTAATGTTCACCTATCCACAGACCAGTTTTCCAGATGTTTTGTGGAACATCCATGTGGTCTTGGGCAATTGTGAGAAACGCCTCATGCTTAAACAGCACTGGTTTCTTTTTTGTCATCATTTCATTTCATTCTGCTTGCAGAGATTTCTGAAAGTCTGCTCTTATCCTCGGGTTCTTTCAGGTTTGTCCATTGTGCTCTTACAGTGATCTCCAGATGTCCATTCAAAGAGAGAGTAGCAACAGTCCAGAATTTTCTCCATTTGTAGACAGTGTATCATTACGTGGATTCAAAAACAACACAGGTCTGAAAAGTACAGCTGTTTGTGTGCTAAGTCATTATGTCTTAAATCAGAAAACATTTTACAAGCAAGCAATGCAGGAAAAAAAATAGACGTTCAAACGGTTCACAAACGTATTATTGACTGCCTATGTCTTTGATACCCCAATGTAGATTCCAAGATAGAGGATCAAAGCTCAGACAAGTATATTATGCTTGAATACATAATATCTGATGGTGTGGCCAACAATTTATTATTCAGTGATAATATGCCTAATATATGCCTTCTCTCTTTATCTCAGGATACAGGTTTGCATTATTGCTTGGCCCAGTTTTAAGGCATGTTAACACTTTTCTGAATGAATGAATGAATGAATTAATTAATTAATTAAACTACACTTTTGTTTAAAGCATTTTGCATGGTTATCACTTTGCAATGGTATGTTTGGAATAAACCAAACTCTCCAAACTATTTCCCAATTCTTCTTGAACATCAAAATGACCACAATCAATCAATCAATCAATCAATCAATCATGTTTATGGAATACTTCTATATATTTGCCAATTTTCATTGGCTTCTCTTCCCAAGCTTTCTCCAAGAAAACGTGTACTAACAAGGAGTACATATGAGTGTTCATTGGGCAGATGTGATTGGGCACTCACCCCTCTGAAGTTGCTGGAGGCCTGGAAGTAGATGAGATAGTTCTTGCTGGGGTCCAGAGGTGTGTTCCAGTAGCCGTTGTAGGTGTGGTTGTCCCCTACAGTGAATGGTGTAGCCTCAGGTAAGCTGCTGGGCGTGAGTTCGGCAGTGTAGTAATGAGGCGGAGCACCACTTGCCCCTCCACCTCCTCCGGGACTCTCCCCATGGGAGGAAGGAGCAGGGAAACACTCCATGTGACCCAGCTCCCTCCGCCTCACCTGTCTGGAGCCATCCTCCTCCACCACCACATGATAGGCGCTGTACAGGAAGATGGAGCAGACTTTACACACTGAACTGTACTGCACTGTATTTCCACTCACTGTAACACGTGACTTCAAGTGCTTAGTGAAACAATCACTAAATAGAACAAAAGTAAATTATACCATGAGATGCTATAGGAAGCAATTTGGTTTGCCATAGTTCATATTTATTTAAACATATACATTAACTAATTAAGAAATCACTAACAGGTAAAATAAATATAATGAAGTATAGGCCTAGTCTAATATTTCACAAAATGCTCTTCACTAGATTTCATTTCTCGAGCAAATACATGCTACGAGCTGTAGACACTGATGACTTGCCTGAGGTAAATGCAATGCTAAGTGACATTTTGTTTTCAAGCTGTTTTAATGACGTCTTTCCACAGTTGAAACACTAATTGAGTGATTATGTGAGAGGTGAGATGTTCATTCATGTATATTTCGCATTAAAACTAGTAATAAAGATGAAGATCGTGCTCAGTCGCGGCTCCACGCTTCCGTTAGAACTGAGGCGTTAGTATACAGCGATATGTCGCACCACATCAAAGAGCATTTATTGATCAAATTGCAAAAACCAAACAAAACACACCTACAGAGTGCACGCATAAGAGACTACGTGATTAAGTCTGGTTAGACCAACACAGGCTTTAGTGCGCGTGCGCATTTTGAGTGCGTTCTTTCACTGCATGATTCAGTCTATTAATATGCATTAAGAATGATCACATAATTCAAGATAAGGGGGCAGAAAATGTATATATTTATCGCAATGACTCACTTAACAGTAACTTGCTGCCACCTATTGGTGGTTTTAATTGTTTTAATTTTACATTTCAAGTATCTTTTCATTTTTTAAATAATTTCCAAATGTCAGTATTCAACATTTCATGTTTAAAATATCAAAACATGATTTATACATTTGTAACTGCAGGGTAAAGCATTCCATATCCCTCTAAGCTGCATTAACATGTGTAAATACATCTAAATGCCACTTCATATGCAACTTCTGCAAAGATTATTTTGTTTATATTGATTGCATTTGTTTAGTAACAGCCTAAATGTATTATTATTATAATTGACTGATTAAATGTAAGAATTTGACTCAAAAGATTACTTTTAGAAAAAATGGCTTTATAAAGGTAAAAATGCCCATAAAAGGTACAAATCAATTTAAACTTATTGGAAAAGATTAATTTATGTCACTGCTGTGAATTGACCACACAGAATATGAAATATATATCAAAAATTTTAGGAGTCAGCTGTCCACTGTAGTCCTTATATCAGCACATTAACACACTTAGCAAGATATCGTCTAATTATCTTTATTGATATAAAATTCCAGAAAATATTAAGATAAATTTTTGTCAATATCGCACACCCCTAGTACTGACACAAAATGATTTGCAACGGTCACTTTGTCACGCCCAGTGTAGACAGCCTCAAGTTGTTGGTTTATTTATGTTTTTTTGTTTTTTTTTGGCTAGTAGAAGTTATGAATGGCTGGTAACTTGTATGCTATATGGGGGTTATTTCATGTATGTTATATTTGCAGCAGCAGTATTTCTTACATGCTCACAGCAGCATGTTGTGGATGTATTGGCAGTAGCAAGTCTCGGTACTTGCTCTGCCGCAGCAGCGTAGCAGATCTATTCCGCCAAGACCAAATACATTAACATTTTCATGTACATTACCATGCCAATCCCTCCGAGAGTTGTCATGACAGAATATATATATACTGTATATATATATATCTCTGAAAGACCCAAATTTAGGAAAAAAAAAACCTGAAAAATTATTTCACCATTTATATGTTATTTACTGTATATTGTGCTTGTTACCTCACAGGTGCTCCTCTCCCCAAGGCTGGACGCAGGAGTACAGTTATGGTGCTCTCAGATTCACTCAGTGGAGAGGGGGCGCCTTCATAATCAAACGCAGGTGCTGTGAAGGGAAACGAAAGAACAAACAGATGGGATTAAGAAACTGATTTCTGTGCCAGCGTGAACACTGTCTGAGTGACTTGAGAACTGGACCAGTGAGCTAGTCTTTGCCCTGGTCCGCAAACTGTATTGAACGATTTATTTTTATATTGTTCAGCTTACTGACTCAATCAGTCAGTCAGTTCAACTCTGTAATTCGTTTGCAGTTAACAGCTCACTGGAGGGGAAGAATATCACTAAACAAAGGCCTAAAATACAGGTTTAGAATGACATGAGGATGAGTAAATAATGACAGAAGTTTAATCTTTGATCTATTCTTTTGAAAAAAAACGCCCCAACCACCCAGCAACTGTAACACAATAATCTTTCAAATTAGTTTTGGTTTTCCACTGACTTGAAGGCTTTGCTCCACATTGAACAAAATCCGCCCCAGACAGAGCGCACCACACAAGGGCAATGAAACACAGTAATGGAGGCGGATGAGAGCGATCCACAGTCCTTTATAAAGTCTCTTGATGGGTGAGCGCAGAACAGAGCTCCTGCTCTCATTCCTGTTTATTATCGGAAGTCAATTAGTGAGCCGGTACAGGGAAACGGGTCAATGTCTCAGCCTTCAGCATACCAAAACGAGCAGAAAACCTAGAGTCGAAAGAACGAGAGCCGCCATCACAGCGCTAGTGTTAGATCTGAGGACTGAGGGATGTTACGATTGACTTGCTTATAGGAACAAACCTCAGAAAGAAGCACACAAATAAACACACAGAAAAGTTTCACTCAGCTGGATTACTGTGTGTGTGTGTGGAGATATTTAAAGGAACAGTTCATGCGCATAATCTGAGCTCCCTAAATGGTAAGTTAATCATTAATTACTAGTGTGTTTGTGCTCAACTAATGCTTAATTGTGAACAAGTTAACCATTAATTAATGCTTAACTAATGCATTATTCTGGACCCCTATTCTAAAGTGTTACCCAAAAATCTCCTATTCACCCACAAACCCATTTAATGCAAAGCAGGGAAGCTACTGAATGATTTCAGAAGACTTTGTATACAGTACATGAGTTGTATAGACAAATATTAAGGTGCCTTTTAACGCAAAAAAAAAAAAAATGCTGCTGCAATCAGTAGCATAAGCCCAGCCCGGATGTCCAGGAAATCTTTGCAGTGCCGTGCCGGGGGCCTAATGATCAAGAAGGCTCCAGCAGAAGCCTGTGACCTGGCCACTTAATCCAGGAAGTATGAAGCCGAAACCCGGCTTATCGTACCGTCTGGACATATATCGACGAGTGAAATAAACACTGCAAGTCGAGGACCTACCCTAGAAAAGGACAGAAACACACAGGTCCCGGGAAACACTGCAAAGAAAGCTAGCAGAAGGATTATCACAACCACCAGCGCATTAAATACACACATATACATACACTGAATAAAATTATAAACGCAACACTTTTGTTTTTTTCCCCCATTTTTCATGAGCTGAACTCAAAGATCTAAGACTTTTTCTATGTAGACAAAAGGCCTATTTCTCTCAAATATTGTTCACAAATCTGTCTAAATCTGTGTTAGTG